GCCCCACCTTGGAGACCTGTTATTCCTTCTTCCACGTCACCACGTACCGCTTCCACTAGTATCCAATGCAATTTCTCATTTCCCATACATCCATTGATAAGCTTTGCGCTTTTAGAAGGGATCAGTTCACGTTGATCTCTTTTTCCCGATTTTCCCCTCCCCACCAGTCAATTAAGGTCGCACTGGGATACCCTTACAAATCACTTCTGCTGTTAACCTTCTTCCCACTAGTTTATTTTTCGGGTGGGGCTTACTGTGTTTGCGAACTTCAGCAACCGAATAGTAATCGGGGCTACTCTCTTCCCCTTGCGGCGCTTAGCTTCCTTTCCTTCACTTTTTGAGAGGCGGTGAACTGCTGCGTCGGTCCGCTAGGAGGAGAATGATGGCATATTACAATACTGCAATTGTAAGACCGAAATGTGCATTGCAATGTGATCTTAGGATGAAACAACGAAACAAAGATTTGCTCTCTCTCTGTAAACCACTGGACATTGCCAGCATACCTCGTATATACAGAGGCACAGATCTGGAGCTTCACTTTATTCACCGAGCAGCTTTAATTTGGAATCACGTCGGAGCTGATAGAGAGACAGATGATTTGGGTGGTAGTTTTTTGAATGCCACGTAACGATATTACTGGAATTGCAGGGTTGAGATGTTGATCGAAGTGCACAAATACAAACAGCGCAGGGCGAAATCCGAAGTGTCCAGCTTGGGGCAGTATTCCAGGTGTGTCAATAGCTTACAGGACTCGGACTAGTATGCACTAACTGGCCATCCGTCGGTGCCCAATTCATTGCAAATCCAGGCTAGAACGCCCCAAACGAGCCAGTACGATCATGCGTTTTTGCATCAAACTTTGAAATACCGTCTCTCATAGAGGAGGAATAGGGAAGAAAAGAGGGAGTTCCACATTATGTCACCATTCAGCTGAGGACGGGTTTTGATCGTTTGTGCGAATCGACGAATTAACGGCCCATCGTTACCCAGCACAATAACAAAGACTACTTCAACTTCCGAGCTTCAACTTGTATCGAAATGAGAAGTATCGATGTTGAAAGCGGTGATACATCTGCCTCCCATTCCCCTCCCTCGCCTCCGCCTTGAACATGCATCTTTTCGAAGCGGTGATATTGGATTGCAATATACAATTCATTTACAAAGCGGTGTTCTGTGAGTACGGCACGATGCCTTCGTTGAACAGTCTGTTCACAACCCCTGTGGTGCACAACCCCTCGCTGAGCGGTCTGACGCTGCTCACTTGTGTGTTTGTTTGGTTCGGAGTGAATGTGGTTGTCTCCGGTGTTGGGGAGGAGAGGGGTTGAGGACCTGCTTGAGGCTGTGGTTGAGGGGTTCGACAGCTGAGTCTAAAATCTTTAGCTCGCACGTGCATAGAGAATATCCCTGCAAAGTTTTAGCGTTTTACCTTACGGGGTTCGCGAAATCGTTTCCCGCCAACATATCTTTTGGGGGTCCCGTACGCGGAGTCTAGGCGCGTACGCAGAAAGATCCTAAAACGGGAGGCTGACACATGGAGTAGGAACATATATCCAAAGTTTCAGCTTCCCAGCTTTCCTGGTTGCTGAGACGAAAGTGAGTGACAAAATGCACTCGCTTTCAGAACACACACATACACAAAGTCTCTCGACAATATGCGTTTTCGCTGTAGCAGCGCTACAGCGCTGCACAGCAAAAATGCATAAAAACGACTGCTAATCGAAAATTGTTTATTTTCTTTTGTGCAAACTTACGATGGTTTATAATATTGAGCATACAAAGTAGGTGTGAAACAACAGCCATTCGTGCAGTTAACCTAATTATTTCAAGTTTGGTGCAAAAACGCATGATCGCACGGCAAGCCTGGCGCGTTCTAGCCTGGGTTTGCGTTAATTCTTGCTCTAGTGAAATGGTTCGGGAGATGTTCTTCTGTCGGCTGGTTTGAGTTTGGGTATATTTTGGTATGTCCTGTTTTGTTTCTTGATGCAGGATATTTACAATTTTATTTCTGAGTTCCCTAAATAGTGCTATTTTTATTAAGCATTTCCTGTGTTGCACTAAAAAAAATATCACTACTGTATTAAGAATCCTTGTTTTTATTTGTGCTGCCAAAGATCTGCAAGTTTAAAACGCACGATCGCACCAGTAATCCTGGTGCGTTGTAGGTTGTTTTAAAGTTTTAGGAGATAGTGAAAAATTTGAGAGTTTGCAGATGTAAAAATATGGTTGTTGAAAATGACCCAGAGCAAGGACTTTGGATTTTTGAATAAAAGCAAGCTCAACACTTATCTAACGAAATAATGGATTAAAAAAGGATCCTGGAGCTTTCAGAGCTGGCTTGACTGGACAGAGCTACGTTGCGATAGTTGGATTATTGTGGCTTGCTCACACACTCACTGCAATTAAACTAAAATTATTTTGTAATGAGTTTTGTCGACCTCCTGTGTTTGCGCTTTTTGTTTTTGCATTTTGTATGTACAACATTAAATTATTTGCATGATCCTGTGCAAACGCTTTATAATTTCATTTAATGAAAACATTTTTTCGCAAGTTTAAACGGCAGGTTGGCTCGTTGCACCTTGAAAGAATGCCATGGTCTGTGAGAGAATAGTGTGACTCCGCTCTCATTGCATTCCAGGGCTGGAAGAAAGTTATTGAAGTGAGTCAAATGGTGCGTATTTTATCGTAAATAGGGCTGACAAACAGAGTAGTTCAGAAAATGATGAAGCTTTTTATAAAGTGAACGATTGAAATTCATCGATGTCTTGCCGAACACAACATATAGTAAAGTAAAAATAAAAATGACAGTTTGTTAGGGCGCGCTGCCTCGCTTTCAAAGGAAATTTGTCAGAATTATGCTTAAGCCTTGCCTGAAAATTCCTGGAAAAAGAATATTATTGCGATATGTGAAGGCCGTTGAGATATTAATGAATTCAATAACGTGACATGTTTGGTGATTCAGTAATATGAGCAAAAAAAAGTAACACGCTGAAGCACTGAGCGCAACAACTCTGAGTCAAAGCAATCATAGAGACACTGTGTTTATAGCAAAATATCCAGTACATGTGGACGCTCGCCAATATGGTAGTGAAAGTCAACGGCATCCTCTTTCTTCAAATCCTTTATCGTCATTACACCGTTTTCGAAACTCAATCGATCGCCAAAGCGTTCTTTCTGCAGTGGTGAGAATCTTTAGTGAATATGCATCAGCAGGCACCTTCGATTACCTCAGCAATGGAATTGGGTGGGCACATTATGTAGATATTAATTATGATACATGTATAAGAGATAAAATTAGATTAAGAGAACTGGATGAGCAGGAATGTTCGGCCGAATGATTCGTGGGCATTCCTATTCAGCACCACAGTGGGATCTTTCCGGTAAAACGGTATGGTGTTGATAAAATAAAATGAAATTTATGTATGAGTATAGGCTATACTTTCGGAAGCTAAAAAGAGGTTAAATTTAAAAAATGATAGAAAGCAAAAAAACAAATAGCAGGTCCAACCGGACGATGCGTAGAAACTCAATACAACCTTATGAGCCTTAACTTCTGACACATACATTTAAATTGCAATTTCACAGTTTTCAAAACTCGCTGTGTCCCGCGATAATCTTGTCACTTGCGGTGTTCGGAACAGCCGTTTTAATGCTATTAGTTTATAACTTGAGATTTTGTCGAAATTCACGCTGTTTACTTCTCAGGTATTTCTGAGTCTCTGTGTTTGGATATTGGAGTCGTTACAAAATCGCAACATTCACACGAATGATGAGTGAATGGAACAAATAACAGGCAAATCAAAGGACACGGAAGCGATCTTTGTAGAGAAGCAATGCATTTAGGTTTTCTGCTTGAAGGGACGAAATAAAGATCTTTTGGCAGCCAACAGGTTGACTGCCAAAAGATGCGGTTTCAAGCATTGTAGCTGTGAAAGGGTTTTTCAGCTGTGTTAACAGCACGATGGTGCTTTCACAGCAAAACGGTCGCTGGTTAAAGCCAGCAAGTGACCTGGGAGGGAATTTGATAGAAATTTCATGGAATAACTAGTTCACTGGAAGAACCACCTAAAAATTGAGCACTTTTAGTGTTAAGGGTAATGGCGTAAGTCCCGCGGATTTTATTTCTGATTATCATTATCTTATGAATTTTATCATGCGTTTTTGCATATAGAGCAAACAGCGGTTTAACAGCTGAGCTTCTGTTCTTCACTCGCTTTTGAAAGCAACTCCTCGATGGATGAATGTAGAAGAAATTTTGTGGTCTTTGGATTCGATTAGAAACCTCACGCATTTAGGTATTCGTTTATATCAAACATTCTGATCAAAAATTGATTTGATGTGGGGGAAAAAAGGACGAAAGTTATAAGCTCACTCGGACTTTATCTAACTGCTAAGATGTCTGTGCCTGAAAGTGTAAGCAGATGTAGGTAGTAAAGGTGACGTGCAAATAGCAAATACATGTAAATTATATGTAACAGGTACAGATAATACTTGTAAATCTGCGAATGCGAATAAGTCTTTTGTACTCTGAGTACAGATATGATGAAGACACGTTTGTGAATTTGCGCTGTGTGCACGTTTTTCTGTTTTGCCTTTCTGCGCAGTTAACGCCGGGCTTATAAAGTTGGGAAGTTTGAACCACATACGAAAGATTGTGACTGACTAAAACTCAAATGCATCATTGTAGAGAACCATTCTTCCGCCCTTAAAACGATGAATATGCGAATAGTCTATAGGAACACTGTGCTCTGGAAGAAATGGGCGAACCGAAGGAGGGGCGAAAAAAGGAGAAAAGGGGCCCCATTCACTGCATTCAGGAATCATCGGAACAATTTATGCTGAAAAAAAACTAAGCAAGCGAGTGGAAAAAAATTTGCTTGTAAAGGATAATTTCGCACAGTGACGCTAATTTCAAGGTGAAAGAAAAAATTTCACTTCCTAGCAATGGAGTGACTGAGGCAATATTTTCACCGGAATGTTATCTCAGGCTACAGGAAGATATTTCATGAAAAGTTTAAAAAATTAACCCCATATGAAGTGACTTCTGCATCCTGGATGATTGCTTCTTGATTGAAGCCACGATACACAGCTATTTTCCGCACCGAATCACCGAAATCCCAAACAACTGTTTGCCCCAAGTTGGCTTCGAAACCGATTAAACTGCCGTATACTTCACATGTGACAGCAGCCAGCGCAACGAGCATGTACAGAATATGCTTCATTTTTCCGGAACTCTGAAAACGTATCGGCTCTTTTATTAGAAAATGAACCCAGGTTGAAACGCGTCAGCTTGCCGGTGCGATCATGCGTTTTTACACCAGACTTGAAGTACTCAAGCACTGCATGAATAGTTGTTGCTTTACACCTACCTTTTGCGCTCCCTAGCATAAATAGCTATAAATTTTACGTAAAGTAAATGAGCAATTTCCATTAAAAAGTGTTTTTTTTTTGAAAGTAACCTAGCAATTTAGCGAGCAGTTTTCCTGCCAAAAATTTTAAGTGCCCATACCTGAGAACCAAGCATACTTTGAAATATTTAAGTTGAATTTGTGCAGAGAATACCTCCCTTCTTCGTGCTCGTACATGAGATCCACGCGTATCTGCGGGTTGAATTTGAAATATTTAAGTTGTACTTGAACGGGGAATATTACCTCAAAATTTCAGCTTTCTAGCTTTTCTGATTCTCGACTTGAAAGTGGGTGACAAAAAGCTCGAACACACGGACACAAACACAGGCAGCCTCTTCTCAATATGCGCTTTTGCAATTTGCATATATGCAGAAACGCATAAAAACGAAAATTGCTCGCAGCAGCGACTGGTTAATTTTTATTATGCGTTTTTGTTATGCAGAGCTGTAGCACCGCTATAGAGCTGCTGCAGCCAGTAAGGGCGCATATTGTCGAGAGGTTGCATTTTGTCAGTCACTTTCATCTCAGCAACCATGAAAGCTGGGAAGCTGAAACTTTGGGTGTATGTTCCTACTCCATGTGTCACCCTTCCGTTTCAAGATCATTCCCCACACGCGCCTAGATCCCGCGTACAGACCCCCCAAAGAAATATGGGATATTCTCTCTGCATACGCAAGCTAAAGATTTCAAATTCAATTGCCATGCACGCTTGTGAAGTGCGGGCGATCACGTCAAAGTTTGCAACTTGGTACTATGCTAACTTTAAAACTTGTCAAAAATCAAAAAAAAAGTGGCTGAAATTTTGTCAGCATGTTTGTCGCCCATATGAAAAATAGTATTCCTAAAATAAGCACCGATTTGCATTTGTGCCACGACTTAGGGCACTTCAAAGATATTTGTAGCGAAGTGAATATTTCGCTTACCGGATAAGTTG